GTAACGCTCTAAATGCTGATAAAGGAAAAATCTACATTGGTTCTGGTTTTTGACCTTTCCCTTTCCTGTGACTGCTGGACTACAACTCCCATCATGCTTAGTGAGATTCTAACTGAGGCAGGTGGAGAGTTAAAATATGCGTCTGATGTAATCTAATAGTGAGGCGACCACTTGCTAAATAGTGTACATGGAAAATGACTCCAATCAACCTCAACCAGTGACTGGTACACCTGTTAACAATTTTAGACCAACAGCTTTACATGGCAAACAACTATTTTAATGGAGACATACAACTTAATACTCCAAAAAGGCACTTGAACCATTAAAATAATACAAGCTCAATGGATCCATCCAATTCTTTAAGTTGCTTTACATAGGGTGTTGTGTCCTCAATGGTTTTTAGGAGAAGCATTTGATTGGGCAATGATCATCAATAACAGGCTTACTGAAACTCCGGCCCTCCAGATGTTGCTAAACTACAACTCCCATGATTCTATGAATGAAAGAGGCTGAGAATCATGGGAGTTGTAGTTCAGCAACATCTGGGGGGCCGGAGTTTGGGGAAGCCAGATCAATAACAGGGACGTGAGTGCTAGGAAAAAAAGGGGTGACTTTTCATTAGCTGCAGAGATTGTAGATACGTTTTTAGGGCTTTGAAAAATATTTGTGCGAATTTTAGTAAATGCTTATTTTTTTCAATTACTTTCATGAATTTAAATTATAGCTATCTGCATTTAGATCTTCTTTTTTTAATTGTAATAGATGTGGATTATTTGAAGGGTCCTTGAATTGTATCAGAAAGTGTACAGATGTCCTGAAATGACATCCTTTTGTATGATATTAAATTCTTAGTGTCTCAAGGTTCTCATTTAGACTTATTAGAGACAGAAGATTCTGTAGATGTACATAATGATCCCAGGCATCTACCAATTTGTTCTTTTCACATTTTATGCAGGAATTAAAGATTACCTGTTACAGGGATGCTTCATCTCAACCTCCAACATTATCTTCTAAAAAAGGATTAATTCAGCGATTGCTTTTTAAAAGATATTTGATATATTTAAAAAAAAATCATCATCAAACATTCTTCATTATTCTAAAAAAGAATACATAAATAAGAAGATATAAACTTTCTGACACTATATGTAGAACCCAGAAAAAACATTTGTGGCCAAACTTACCCTCTCTCTACTAGATGGGTAATAGTAGAATTCTGTTGAGCTCCTAGTAGTAGACCTACTCTGGCTTTAGTTATTTCCAGGACAGAACTTCCAAAAATGACCACAAAATATTGCACCCACAGCTATAAAATTCACATCTAATTCACATCATGATATGCCAAACAGGAAGAGGTATTTCAGGGGCATAGATGCTGCCCCAGTAGCCTTGCAAATAAAAACAGTTTCCATTTGATCCTTTAATTAAAACCTGTCAATGAGGCTATATATACATATTTCTCTGGTAAAGTTTTAAGCAATTATGATGTTTGTAAGCTGCTGACGATGGTGAAAAGAAAATTTGCCTCTAATTGAAGCGTGCCTTGCTCCAAAAAAATGTGGTGGGCCCTAACCAAGAGGTCAACTCCATAGATCCCTCCCTTAAAAAAGTAATTGTTCTACTTCTGCCTAAAATCTGTCTCCATTACTATTCTTACCCTACAAATAATATTTTTTTGTGTTACTACTGTGGATCTAGAACTGACACCTGTACATTATCAACAGTACTTCGATAGTGTCAATACTGTCTTGTAGAAGACGGATTAGAATTCTATTAATAATTGTAGAAAGCATTGAGTTAATATTAAGACTTTTCAAGAACTTCAAAATGAATACGATCTTCCAAATGTGGATCTATTTAAGTACCTTAGAGTTAAAGGTTACATAAAGTCTCATTTAATTCAGATAACAGAAAATAAGGCCTCTGAGATACGATCTTAAAACAAGATAATTACAAGATATTATTATTAGCCAAAAATGGGCTATTAATTAAAATCCCAACATGGCCGGAGATAAAAATGCAGATCCATACACAATGCACTATGGAAAGGGGTATCTTAACTCAATCCAAATGGAATAGATCAGAATTTAAATTCTGGAATGACTGATTAGCTATTTTGGGGGAGGATCAATTAGATAGTAAATGAACCCAAGAAATAACACACATAGTAAAAGTATAAGGAAAAGAAAAGGGGAAGGAATGGGAGAGAAAAGAGAACATTCTATGTTTCTATGTTTCTATGTAAAAGGGGGGGGGGGAAGAAAGGTAAAAATATTAGGTCTAGGTAAAGGAGAAACACTAAGAAAAAAAAAAAAAAAAAAAGATCCTCGTACATAGAAAATGGCTCCTGTAACCATGTCTTTGCCTCCTAAGTTTGTTGTTTGTTGTCAGTAGTTAATGTTTATCACGTATAAAATTATTAATATGCTCTGAAGTGATTGGGGGTTGATAAGAATAAAAAAAGTGAAACTGATAATGAATAGAAATAAGGAAGGAATGGGGGAGAGAGGAAGAGGGGAGAGGGGAAGAAAGGAAACGGGAAGGAGAAGGAAAGAGAAAGGAAGGGAAGAGGGAAAGGAAAGAAAGAAAGAGAGAGAGAGGGGGGAGGAATAAAACAAGGAAAATGAAGAAGGAGGAGGTTGAAATGTTGAAAAGGGAAACAACAAAAGATAAGTAAAAATAAGAGATGGAAATTAAAAGACAAGTGATAACACCCTAGCCAAAAGGCCCCTACCATATATATTTACATTACTGAATTACTAAGACTTTGTTTTTTGCATTGTTATATGTTTTAAGTACTATGAATATATAAGAGAAATATAATAAATAGATAATAATAGATAAGGTATCCCTATCCCTATATCCCTAAATAAGTAATAAATCATATACCATTCTGATATATTTCTCAAAAAAAAAAAAAAGACAAAATAATAATACATGGTTTTCATCCTTTTCAACATCACATTTGAAAGCATCACTGAATCGGATAATTTTACCAGTGGCCCTCCTGGCCAGGCAGGCTATAATATTCTGTCTGCCATGATATGTCTAATAGGACCATACACCTGGTGTCATGAGGCATAGGATTTATGCCCCAAATATTTTTTTTCTTCCTTGAAATTGCAATGCCATCTAGTAAATATCTAATGGCGTTACAATTTTTGAAATTTTCTACAATTCTACATAGTGGCAGACTTATACCACCAGCTGGTAAAAAGATTTCGGGCAAAAATTTGCCGCAGTCCTAGGAAGAAAATAGCATTAAGTTCTCATAAATCCATCCGATATTATGCGCTAGTGCATGAAATTACTTCTAAATTATATTGAAGAAACAAACACATAGCAACACTTGTGTTATTTAGGTACAAAATAGCTAAACTGGTAACTTGTTTATATTGGGATTTTATATGTCTTTCTGGTAATAATTCACATGTGAATTAAAGAATAAAGAGTGCATTTCTCATCACTGCACCTCTAAGCAGAAAATGTCTGTAAACTAGAACGTTAGAAGTCAAAAATAAATAAATTAAATCTAAAATGCCAGCTGGTTTTTAGGCGACAAGACTACTTAAAACAAGTGTAAATGAATTTGCATTTGACTGATATTTATTATTCTTAGACATTTTTTTAAATCAAACATGGAAACTGTAGCTGTACTTTGAATCCAGGTGCGTTTCTCCATATATATCTGTGAATCGGTGCAGATGGTATGCCCCTGAGCTGATTAAAAGGAACAGCGAGTTTGTGTTTGCCATCAATTTCAATAGAGTGAATTCTATCTTCTGATTCTAGTCTGTCTTACATTTATTTACTGTGCGTCCACGAAAACACAGATTAGATTTGACATCCACACGTGTCTATGTGGCTCCTGACTTTGAGGCACGCCATAATGCATCAGAGTTTCTCTGTAAACTATCCAAATTGCCTTTATTCACTAAACTGAAAATTGCAGATGGGAAATGACAAAATATATTCACCTGTGTAATACAACTGGATGAACTCTCCAACTAAGCCATATTTTTAGCCTGGATAATTTGACGTAAAACTTTTTCATCTTTTCAGTTCTGCACACTTCTCAGTTTAGTGAATAAATTCTGAAACATACAGATGAAATTGTTTATCCTGTTAATTAATTTAACAGAACATGTATTCCTGACACTATAGTGTTAAAATAGCTATGTAGGTGTCTGCTCACCTGTACATTAAAAATGTGTTTAATTTCACCTTTTTTCCCACTAGCTGAGATCATCAATATTAATGATCTCAGTCAATCCAATGATTTCCCATAGGAAAATACTATTGTGCATGCGCAGCAAAATACTGTGCTGCACCAATCAGCATCTTTTCATAGAGATGCATTGAATCGATGCATCAATATGCAGAGCGTGCAGAGAATGGAAATGTTGAATGCCGTCTGAGTGATTGCCACTAGAGGTGTTACTAGGCATCAATATAAACACTGCCTTTTCTCAGAAAAGGCAGTCTGTACATTGAAAAGCCTGCAGGGACAGGCTATAGACACCAGAACAACTACATTAATCTCTAGTTGTTCTGGTGACTATACTGAACCTTTAATAGTTTCCAATAGGGATGCAATTACAATTGCAACAAGAGTATGAAAATGTATTCATAAGATTATGTTTATTATCAAATAAGTAAAATAAGCAGACAAGATGGGATTCTGTATTTCTGTCAGAAATAATGTTCAATTCTGTTTCCGGAAAATCACTTACTCCCTGTAATTCTTGGGAAATACTGCTGAACCAGTTTTCATTCTTAAACTGTCATGGCACCTTTACATCGCTACCTCAACACATCCTGAAAGAGCTCTCTCATATTTGCCAACGTTAGCTGGTGTGGGAGGCTGGACCAAGATGTCCCAGCATGTGGACATGCCAGTCAAGCAAAGCACACTACTGAGGATTAGTGATGTCCCAAACGGTTCGCTGAACGGTTCGCCGCGGACTCATCATTGAGTAAACTTTGACCCTGTACCTCACAGTCAGCAGACACATTCCAGCCAATCAGCAGCAGACCCTCCCTCCCAGACCCTCCCACCTCCTGGACAGCTCACTAAGAATGCAGCTTCACAATGGATGCTGTCCAGGAGGTGAGAGGATCTGGGAGGGAGGGTCTGCTGCTGATTGGCTGGAATGTGTCTGCTGACTGTGAGGTACAGGGTCAAAGTTTACTCAATGATGAGTCCGTGGCGAACCGTTCGGGGCGAACCGTTCGCGAACCGTTCGGGGCGAACCGTTCGCGAACCGTTCGGGACATCACTACTTAGGATATTCCTTCCTAAAAATGGGGCATGCAACTAAAGCTAGCATGCACGCAATGATAATGTGCAGATGGGCAAGGTGGCTAAGAAGGGGGGGCCGATGCACAGGTTGCACATGAAATGCTGATTAGGTATTGGCTGAAATGCAATAAAAATCTTGTCTGGTACCGCGCAAGCACATTGAAAGTTGCACAACTGTCAGGAAATTTGAGTTTGAGCTCAATTCATTGTAATAGAATCCATTCTCGACAATCCTGGTTATATATATATAAAAAAAAACCTTTGTATACAAAATAATCAACATTTAATTTATTTTTTGTTATTATTGCTGGGTGGCAATTTTAAGTTTTAAAATAGAAATGCGTAAAGAATTATTTAAAAAAAATGATTTCCCAAATAAAAGCACTTTCAAAAATAACCCCCCCAAACGTTGCCAATATTTTTTACATCTCTCTCATGCTCTTTTGCAATACTAATTTATCCACTTCAAGTATTCTGTAAATGTCTTTTTTTATCTTGTGTGCTTTGCAGTTGGTAATCTTCCTGTCTCTGAGTTCTACAGCTAACTATCAACAGAAGGCCATTATGTTCCCTTCACTTCACTGCCTGATAGTCATAAATAATATGGCAGAAAAGCTTATGCACTCAGAGTGACTGACAGTGAGAATCATGTCGATAGGCTCGGTAAAACTTTCCGTGACATAAAAGACCAGCTGCATTCGTGCATTTAAACACGTGTGACTAAGAAACACTGAAACTAAGTCAACACAATACACACAATAGGTGTTTGAGTAAGACTGGAAATAAATTAAAATAAAACAATGACAAACTACTTTTGTACCAATCGAGGACATGTCAACCCTTCGCAAACAAAGTTGATTCACACAAGCAAGAAGTTGCATTGAGTAAGCACAAACATTTTATCTCTACCTGCACTTGCAATGCCCCTAACATAATCATGGTTCCATAGTGTTGACTGTTTGCTTGTGGACAATCTCCCCAAGCCACCCACTATGCTTAAAGACCCAACCGTCGATTCCAACTAGTAAAGTGTGTAGTCGCAGGGATAGGCAACCTTCGGTACTCCAGATGTTGTGGACTACATCCCCCATAATGCTCTTACACCCATAATGCTGGCAAAGCATCATGGGAGGTGTAGTCCAAAACATCTGCAGTGCCAAAGGTTGCCTATGCCTAGTGTAGTGTATTGCTTCAGTGTACACTTTACATTATAACTGAGCCCGTTTTTCCTAAATCAATCAATCTACATATATTAATGTCTTTGTCAATGTTTCACATATAGGTGTGCACAAAGTGTATGCCGAAATTGCCAAGGCATACCCTAATGCAGAAAATGATTTGCCCCCCTACCTGCCCTTTTATATTGATTTTCAACTGTATATAAGCCTGGTCACTTGGACTAAAGCTGGTGTAGCCTTCCATTACCAGTTGATATTAGGAGTTGCCTTTTACTAAAAAAAATTGATTTAGTTTGTTTAAATAAAAATAACTGTTATGAATGAGTAATCAATAAATATTTACCCTCTTAAATAAACTAGCTGCCAACCTCAGGAAATCCAACAAAATACCTTGAGGACCAATTTTGGGTTCCAGCTGACGGGTCATAATTCCCTCTGACCTAGCATATTGTAACAATCAATGTGCATGTTTGATCTTTTCGCAACATCACATGCTTAATGTGTGAGCAGCTTTTATAACTACAAGAGCTCATAAAATATCTGTTTTACTGTCAAATGTGACACGTGGCTCAGCAGTTTGATGAAGTACATGCAAAGGAAGGGATTATTTCATTACAATGTTCAGATCAGACTCACTTTCTCTTCAACACACCAGATCATGATCGAACCATGCAACGTGATTTATAAGATTATGTGTTCCGAGCGCAAGATGTAAAATTTATATGTTTTTTCCCCTCTTCCATTGTCAAAAATGAAGCCTAATCTGATTTTAGTTTAACTTGGACGTAATGGTATTAAACTCAGGGCTGCAGAGGATGAGTCATGTTTCAGATGTCTTCTACAGTCCGTTTGTTGAAAAAACCTTTTCCAAACATGTTGATGGACTGGCAATCTCATTTTCTTTCTTTTCTAAACAGCCATCGTTTATTTACTTAGATTATCAAATTAGATCAAGAATATGCAAAAACAAGAGCCTTGGATGTTAGGTTGACCGTAATGATTTGATTAGAAATCATAAACAGCCTTTCGGTTGGCAGTCTTTTTCCAAACAGAGGCTGGACTCTAGAGCTTGCTTTGTTTCTTGTAGGCCATGTCCATAACAATTACATTACAAGTTCAAATAAAGATCATTTCAGAATCATGGCCCAGTCTTGCCCGAAACAAAGAAAATGAAGGATCATAACCTAAAAAGAGGAAATAACCTATTCAGTGGAAAAACATACGATGGTCATGCTTGATGCTAAAGCAAATACGTATATATTTTTTTGTCTTTATAATGTTCTGCCGAAAGAAAAACCTTTTTCTTGTGAAACATTTTTATCTGTTGAGATCCGGTAAAGTAAAAACAAACAAAACAACAAACACACTGCATTTTAGAGCATTTTTTTACTTCAAGTAATCTAGGTCATGAACAGTCAAATTACGACCTTCTCGGACTTGACGAACACCATCCTCTCCAGCTGATATGGAATATGTCAAGTTTTTTTACATGCGCATCCCCTTTCTGACATGCTTTTGTGATTAGCAAATTAACTTGATTTTTAAGCATAATGCAAAGTAGTTTTATTTTTATGGCATTTTTTCGATTATTTTACCTATAGGCTAGATGTGCTTCAAAGAAAATGTTGATCAGACACACTTGCAAATTAGCTGTCACTGACCTAAATTATGTTTTACTTGCTATTTTAGAATTTCATAGAAACTGACAGCGGGAGTAGAATTAGAATATTAGGCATTTATGTATTACTGTGACAGGGCCTGACATATTCTGTTATTTCATATTCCATTGGCTCATTCTTGGAGTTCTGATGTTCTTCCAGACTGCTGGCTGCTATATTAACATAGCTAATGTAGCCCACAGCATCTGGAATGGATACGTTTGTCTTAGTCCTTGACGTGCACAGTCGTTATTCGGCATGTGCTAACCCCCCACAACCTAATAACACACGGACACCACATTTTCTGTTGGAGTATAAAGTCCACAGATTGATTAAATTATTTATATATATAATAAAATTAACAAATTTATATGTTTACTCTTTAATTTCCTTTAAAAAAAAAAAAAAACGTGCAACGTATCTTGAATCTGACACCAAAATGTCACCAATTGTCGACTACTGCAACATTCTCTGGCAGTATCGAAACCTGTAATTATCTATGCACTTTCAAAAATAAAGAATTAAAAAAAAAAATTTAACAAATTTAGGATCATTGTCACCACGTGATAATTATGTTACGATCTCCCCCCAAACAACAATACCCTGACAATGACCCTACCACTGAACAATAAATAACATTCCACATAACTTATAACACCCGGCCTACCGGAGGCCCCCCATCCATATGTTTACAGTAGGGGTGTACCGAGGCACCCCTACACCCCTAGGTTCTAAGCCACCAATGAGCTCGAACCTACCAAAACACTTTTCCATTCCGGCCTATTCCAGCCTAGACCTTGGCCTGCCCACTTCCTATTTCACCTAACACCTCTTTAACCCATGCCCTTTTCCCACCGCTGTGACAAAGCGGGAACTACCCCAAAACCATAGGGAGGGTGGGAAGCACAACTACCAGGTAAGTGATTAAAATGGCCATCCACTAAGATGGCCGCTATTTAAACCCTTAACACTCCTCCCCCCAAACTGAATTATTAATTTCCCAACCCCTTTATTATTAATTCCACCTGCACACTTTCTGGCCCTGTCAAGGCCCACTCCCTTACTGCGTTGATCCGTGGGCTCCATTACTATCAGGGTTATTCACTAAACACTGTATCTATTGTCTTGGTTAGTGTGTTGCCACAAGTAGTTTTGTGAAATACTATATACAGTTAAAATTAAAACTATTCAACCCCCATTGAAAATCAGTTTATTGTTAAAATGTACAGAGTTTCAGCTATTTGTAATGAATAAATCAAATGAAAGCAATTTGAAATAGCTCAACACAAGTATTTTCAATGAGGGTTGAATAATTTTGATTGCCATTGTATACTCACCATGTACTTTTAAGTAAAGGAGCCACGCATTTAAAATGCACATACATTGCCACAATAAACTGAAAAGCCACATTCACACCTTGCTTTATCTTCACAAAAGCTGCAAAATTGAATAAAGGTTTTCAAGTATTATTTCATTTTAGCACAGCATTATGTTAATATTCACATAAGTAAATCAGTTACAACATTCATTGCTTATCTCTATGGAGCAGGACTTTCACTGTCTTTAGTAACTGTCAGATGTTGAAAATTTAGCTAATTTTCTATCTCCTTAGTCCTGCCTCTGTAAATAATTTCCTGTCATATTATGGTAGAATAGCATTTATTTTACAGCCATTATAGTGTTCTTTGTTCTGAATTTCCCCATAATCAAAACTGGCAATTTTTTAAAAAAAGCGGAACACAAAGCACTTTTGATAATGCTGTTATAAATCACATTTTGAAGATTAAAACTTGCAAACATACAGGTAAAATCATATTGAAATGATACACGCAGTAAACGGCAATAGATTTCTGCATAATAAATAAATACAATTGGGTTTTGAAGTGAGACAATCACCTTTCTGGAAAATACAGCGCTTTGTTCCTTCACCTTAGTAAACACTGTTAAGGTATTTACTGGAGTGTGTGCACGCTGATATGCAATATGCACTCATGTGCCATGTGTACGGAACTACGAAAATGTATCTA